CCACCCCGCCCGTTTTAAACCTAGTGGAGCACCAATCCTTCTACAGGTAGCCGATCAAAAGAGGATCAACTAAAAAAGAGCCCAACATACGACCCAAAGGAACCTAAACTCAACCCCAGGCCACTAGACCTGAGCGTCTAGAAATAGAGATAACTCGTGAAACGAAGAGAGAGTTTAACATTCAGGACTGTAGGAGGTTCTGAAAAGACAATGGGGACAAAAGGTGCCTCATCCAATTAGGGGCCGGACAGGTGAAGTAGTGCTCATCTAAAGAAATCTCAGGCAGCGTCAACACATTGAAAGTATATAGGACAAAGAAAAGAGAAGGAGAAGACTGCTCAAGGGGCTCTAGCACCAAATGATCGTCGATAAGAACAGCAAAGTATCCTGGACCAGACTGGAAGGAGAACGTACTACCAGTTAAGGCACCAGGGCAGAGGAGGAACTGGGAGGGTGCAAGAGGGATCACCAGCGAAGGGAGCTCCAGGGAGAAAAACATAATGCAGTTAAGGATATAAATCACCTAAATAGAGCAAACCTAAAGGAAGACACTCCGGAGCAGCAACTACAGCAGGAGGAGAGACTCCGACAAGGAAGACACAGATAGAGGCCAAAACGTCAAAGTCGAGGGAGGAGAAGTCCATAGCAGTCTCAAGACATGATGCCCCAGTGCCAGGGTACAGGACCGCACAAGTCATACGGAAGAAACCCAGGGGACATAGACAAAGCCAAACGAAACGAACCAAAAACGGCTCCAACCGCGGGTAAGGGAGGCTCAAGCAGAAGAGACTAGAGAAGAAAGTCAACTCCTCAATGGTGAATGAAGCGTAATTCTGGAGAGAGGATAGCAGAATTAAGTTTCTCCCAGCAGATCTCAAGGCGGCGTCCCCCGAAACAAGGATGCGAGACATCAACGTCAGTTACTACATCACATGAGGGTGACGTGAGATAGGGCTCCTTCATCGGGACAAAAAGGATCAACAGAAAGGGAACAAGTGACTTTCTACCGTGCAACATTAAGCGGGAGGAGACCTTCTGAAGTCATCAAGCAGAGCATCTTCGTCTAGGCACTGGAGTCAGAAAGAAATTAGGACTTATACTCTCTAGGAGAACCCAAGTCTACCCCTAAGGCCGAAAAGGGGAGGTAGAAAATAAGCGCAAGAATCTCCTCGGAAGCCCTAAGTCCCGACACTCAAGGGAGAAACTCAATGAACCCTGAGGATATTTTGAATAAGTTCTCTAAAGGAGGTTAAGTTCCCATCAGAGAAGGACTATGAATAGGAGGGGAAGAACTAGAAAAGAGATTCTATTTGAAGGGAAGAATAAGATAGATGAGATAGAAACGGCAAACCAAGCAAAGGATCCACAGGGCCGAAGGAGACGTGGAGGAAGAATTTGAGTACAAGAACCAGAAGATAAAGAACTCCCCCGACATAGCGAGAAAGGAGGACAAAGGCAACTGTCGGGGGCGTTGACACCCTACAAGGAAGTAGAGATAAGAGAGAAATTAGAATCTGTAGAGTGGAAGCTGAAGGGGCCGTAGAGAAGGTGAGGTGGTGATAGTCGGCCTCCCAAGCAGCCAAAAGGAGTGGCCCAGTCACGTCCCAAGCCTCCCCGAGGGATAGGAGGTTAGTCGCATTATTTTAATTGACAGGGAGAAACCACTGTAACCCGCCCAGGGGAGGACAAGAGTCAGGGCAGGAGGACAGGGACAGACCAGATGGATCAGACGAAACAGAACCCAACCACTAGAGCACGATAAGGCAAGGTCAGTAAGTCTATAAGCCGGAAATCGGGAAGCAGGAGGGGGGAACCCTAATCTCTTGCAAAAGCCTCGTCGTAAAGCACTTAGGGGAAAAGCAAGCATTAGTAAAACCAGTAAGAGGCAACAACGGGCTAGAATCACACGCAGTCAGTCACATCCCAAAGAGTTCGGCCGAGACCGATTCACGGCCAGCCCCCAACCGCCAAAATACAGACTAAATAGCTGACGGAGCATAATCGGACGAACAACAAAGGTCAAGCCCATCTCTCCCAACGAGGAAAGTATAAATCTCAGCGTCCGAGTACGGGTCCAGACAAGGACAGTCCACAGTCCAAACAGGGAATAGGGAACGAATATTGGTGACAGCGAGACAGGAGTCTTAAAAAGGTGCGGCCAAAATTTCCCCCCCCAGGGCAAAGAAGAGGGATCGGAAGAAAAGGGGATGACAGCGAGATTCTCAATACGCCCAGAACAGAGGGTCAGGCGACAGCGCCCAAAGTCAAAGAATCAGGTATGAGAAAATCTTGGTTGAGTCGTTAGCCTAGATAGACGAACCGCCTGAACGGCCTCGTCTTAAAACGAAAGGGAAGACTCATTCCGCCTCCCCCCCCCCCCCCCGGCATCTCAACAGGAACCAGAGGTGTGGAGAGGGGTACCGGAGTGGTGACTTCTATGTCGGGATTCTTGAGTTAAATAAGGATTATGAGAAAATGAGTAAGTCAGAAAAGGAGATAAAATGGAATGATCGGATAAGAGGTACCACGCCGCATGCCAGCAGCTGCAGACAGGACAGCGAGGAGAGGTTCTGTTTCTGGCTGAACCCCCCAGACCAAACATCAGGCCGACCGGCAGCAGGTCTACAGACGTGGATGGATAGGTTCGGAGTCACGGGAGCTGAATACCAGGATCAAGCAGGAGGGTTCAGGGGAGGAGTAATAGAATCAGAGCAAGGTAAACAAAACATGACGTGGCAGGATATATTAGATAGCGTAATAAGATTCTCAACGTCAACAGCGACGGACCGGGCAAGTAATAATAGCGAAGAAGAAGAGTTAACTTTGGCAGAAAGGAGGGTTTGGAAAGCACTACTAGGAGGCAACGCCACGGTCCAATGCCAGAACAATGGAGTTTGCCAGAAGACTTTATATTTCATAGGTTGCATAATATACTGGCTCTGGAAGGATAATGCAGATCTGATAGACAAGGACAACAAAGCATGGGCCAAATGTCAGAGCATCCGAAGGGGGATATTTCCTGAACGAGACAACCACCTATTCACTACGAAGGAAGGGTGGAAATTAATCCAGAGGGGGAAGAGAACGTGTCAAGCAGGCAACAACTTCATGACCTGTGAGATGGAAGGTCTAGGTCTCGTGATGAGTATCTATGAGGCAATAAACTCGTTATGTCCGAAGTGTCCTTTATCAGGAATGAATGAGTTTCTGAATATGATTCAAACACCAGGCCCAACACAGGATATATTTTGCAGGAAAAGGGCGGGCAAGCCCCCCCTGTGTCAGATAGGCCAAGCCAAGGAAGACGATTCTGTCAAGTTGAAGACAGGAGATGAGGACCAAGAGGTAACTCTCCCGCCAGTCCAAGAGAAATTGACATCAAATACGCCAAGGGCAGACGAAACCGAAGCCCCAGCAGGAAGGAGACACCCCATCTCGAACACGGACTCAGCAGTAGAGTCAAGTCAGGAGAGGCTCAGACAAGATAAGGATGACCGAGGAACGCAAGGCCATGAGACACAAAAAACGATGGAACCTCAGATAGAGATGGATAATGTCCAAGACAAGGGCACCGGAGGAAACAGCAGCACACAATCACAAGAAGAAGCCGGACGAAGCACAATCGAGACGGCGAGCAGTGGGTTAAGGACAAAACATCATGATCAAACCCCCACCACAGAAGACAAATTAGCCAAGGACCCGGGAAGCTCAAGACAGCAGATCAATCCAGAGGTCATGACTTCAGAGGCGGGACAAGGGGCAGACCCGGAGAGCTCAGTCAAAACGGAAGAAGCAACCACCGGAGCAGGAGGAGAGATAGTAGGAGGAGTAGTAGGGGTGAGTTTGATGTTAGTGGCTTCATCATATGGTTTGTATCGTATCTATGGCAGGAGGAGAGTGAAGTATAGGACTAAAAATGGAGGAGCTCGAAGGAATATCGTCCAGTATGGAAGGGTAACAACCGAACGAACTGAGGGATAAGGATAGAGAGACAGCGAGGAGGACACAATATAACCAACGAAGGATCAGGGTTGGAGCAGGGGGACATCTCTGAGGTACGAAGGTGGCGTCTCCCATCCATAGCAAAAGAAGCCGAGCGTCCTCGCCCACAAAAAGGGAACAATACAGAAGCCTCTAAGGAAGAAGGAATAGCAGGAACTGCCCTAGGGAAATAGGGGGCAGCAGGTCTAAGTCAACAGGATTGGAGATCAGGTCAAGGGGGGGACCCCAGGAGGCAGGCGGCACGGGAGCTGTTTAAAGGCCAAGATAGAGTAATACAGCAGGAGTAGAGGTACTCCAAATATCAACACCAGGAGGATACAGGTCAGCGTGAAAAGAGGAAGGACCCCACACGACTACCAGGCTCCAACCCAGAGGGGAGAGGGCAAGTAATATAGGGAACGGCTCCTCAGCTTCCCCCACTGAGAACCCCCTGGATGACGCAACACGTAGCGTGAACGGGCCGGTTAAAGTCCTAAAGCGGCGGGAGCATATGCTTCGGGGAGTTGGGAAAAGGCACAAGGTCGGAGGGGGGTATCGGGCTTATTCTCTCAGGTAGGATTGGGATAGTACTTACCCGTCCGATTCCAGAGCAGGGG